CCCCCACACACACACACAAATTTTTTTCATTTACATTATTATTGCTTATCTTCCATTACTGTTTGTGAATGATAACAGGTATTTAGATTATTCTGGTTATACTTTCTTTTTTGTTGCATAGAGATGATCTGTTTGTTCCGGTTACTTGGGGCTGATGTCATTTTATTTATTACCTTGACAGCTCGGGTTAGTTCAATTCCAATTGTTGACGACAATGATTCTTTGTTGGATACATATTCTAGAAGGTACCTTTTCTTTTCTTACTTGCCATTTTTTCACCGTCGTGCTGTTTTTTTCTTCAAGGAAGATAATCTGTTTTATCTACAGTGACATCACAGCATTGGCAAAAGATAAAGCTTATGCACAGATCCGCCTTGATGAGATGAGCATCCATCAGGTTGAAAATTCTTCTTTGTCCTGATTCGATAAAATGTTGCATACAGTTAACATCACTTTTGATGATTAACAAAGCTGATAGTAGGTCATCTGGCATTTGTTTGGTGCAACTTGATCTGTTAACCTAACCCTTAAACCTCTGTGTCCGCGCGTGTGCGCTTGTGGCTCTTTTCGTTTGTGCATGTGCTTATGAGCAGGGATTTAATTACTATTTGTGGTATTTAAGGATGTATATCAAATAATGATCCATTGTTCATTTTTCTAAAAGTAAAAAAATTAATATTATAAAACTATAGTATCTGGTGGGAATGTGTTTAATGCACTTTATTGTTGGAAATGTAAATGAGCTTTTACTTTTCATGGGCTAATTCAAATTGTTACTCTTTCTTTAATTTTCTTAGATACCTTGGCCCTTAGGGTGCAATTATTAAAATTTATTATTTATTATTTTATTCTTAGGGTGCAATTTACCCTAGCCAGTTAAACAGTCAAGTCAATGCCTAATGCATATGGCTGTTATATGAAAGCTTGAGTTCATTTTTCTAAAAGTAAAAAAATTAATATTATAAAACTATAGTATCTGGTGGGAATGTGTTTAATGCACTTTATTGTTGGAAATGTAAATGAGCTTTTACTTTTCATGGGCTAATTCAAATTGTTACTCTTTCTTTAATTTTCTTAGATACCTTGGCCCTTAGGGTGCAATTATTAAAATTTATTATTTATTATTTTATTCTTAGGGTGCAATTTACCCTAGCCAGTTAAACAGTCAAGTCAATGCCTAATGCATATGGCTGTTATATGAAAGCTTGATAGTGGTATGTAGAGAGTCTTATCTCATAGCAGGTGACTGCATTGCGTTAGCTAGCAATTCATACCGACTATGACCATTTAATGCAATTTTCTTGTTTTATTTTCTTATGCTTCATATATGGAATGCAGTATGATTCTTGTTATTAATAAAGTTTTCAGTTTTCTTCTCATATATACAAATATTAGTTTTCTGAGGTTTTTCCGTTTGTGTGTGCCGAATTTAGGCCCTTCAACTTAGGCAAGATGCAACTTCTCCATACGGGTTCTTTGATGGGCAGAGATGCCAAATGTGCCTCCGCACTGATCCCTTGCAGAAAGTAATCGAGCGATTGGCAAATCCAGGTATATAAATGCTAGGGTAAATTGTAGATAACCCCCTCATCTATACCTCGAGTTGCCCTTATCACCCATCAACTAATTCACTACAACCTAACAACAACCCTTGATTTGCATTTTGAGATGGATAAAATTGCAGATAACCCCCCTCTACTATATGAAAGCTTCAATATAGGGGTGTTAATTGCTAGTAGTGGGTGATATGCGCAACTCAAGGTAGAAAACGATGAGGGTTGCTGCAATTCCGCAATTCACCAAATATACTACTGTAGGAAGCCTATCTTCTTTCAAATGCCAACAGTCTTGACCTCCAAGTTTTTCTCGGCTTTTAGGAGTTCGACGCGTGTTCATTGTCGAAGCTGGAAGCAAGCGAGTGGAAGGAATTATTTCTTTGAGTGATGCGTTCAGGTTCTTGCTCGGTTAGTCGCGGCGTAGCTTTTGAGCGTAATCAAATCTCTGCTTCTGTTGAAACTTTGGTTTACAAAAAACAGAAATCACGTCTCCATTTCTTGTTTGGCTGATGGAAACATTTGCCCATGTTCTGTTAAATGGACAGACCTCAATGTTTTAGAGCCTGGTTTTTCAAAAGATAAGACCACGAGGTCTGTAAATGTCAGATTCTTTTATATTGTATTTTTACGCTATTTCTCCTGATTATTGATATTGGATATTTTGCTTATGTGCTGGTGATGGTTTCTATTTTCCTTACTTGGAGCTACCCTTTAATTTTAGGGGTAATTGCAGATAAGACCTCTTGTAGTTTATCGCTGTTTTGGCCTTACCGCCCCTTGATTTTTGATTCTTTTACCTGCGTATCTATAGATGTCAAAAAATAATCCCATTTTCCGTGGGTAAAGGAGTTGAAAAAAAAAGAAGCAAGGAGCATATCTGCAAAAAGAAAACTAGAGGGGAGGTTACTAGGGGGGTTCTATCCGCAATTAGCCCTTAATTTTATTGGAAGCTATGTTGATGTTGGTTTCAAGTTTGGTTATGTGAGTACTCTTGATTATTACATTAGCTGATGAGTCTTATTGCTCTTCTATTGTAAAAACATCACTCTGCGGTTGTACATCACCTCATTTTAAGTGGTCATTTATTAATTTTAAGACTTGTAATCTGTATTCTTTTTGGACTTGATTGGTAGCCTGTGATCATCTTTAGTTTGTTTTTGTAACTTGAGCATCTTTTAGGGTCTAGGGTGTTGTTTGCAATTCCCGCTTTTGAACACTGTCATTGTGATTTCTGCATCTCGAGGTTTATTTCGACGTTCCTGCAGCTTGTTAAGGGTCTGTTTGTGAATTTCCTGCATCTTTTAGTTGATGAGTCTTGTTGGGGGAGTGTTTGTGAATTTCCCCCGGGTTATGAGAGGTAGGCGTAAAATTCTGGAAGACCTCTCTGGGTGTTTGACGTAAGTTTTGCCTTTTGATAAGGTACTTTTTTTAGGCAATATTTATCATTTGCATCATGACTAGCATCAAATAATTATGTGAAAAACTCCCAATGCAGAATGCAGCTAACCAATATTTTCCCTAAAACCGTACGTATTTTCAAAATAATTTTCAAGAAATTATGAAATATTTATACGCGTTTCGTCTTCCAATCAAGTTCATGTAATTCTCCTATCCATCTCTACTACTTTTATGCTCCAATCTGATATATTCTATATTCGTGTTTCTCATGGATATTTCACCAATTTACCTTCTAGCAGAGAATCACAAAGAATGGTTTACTTGAGTTTGTAAAAAGTGGCTCAGGTGGTTAATTACAAAAAAACATTTTGAAGATGGTTTACGTATAAATTAAAAATAAAAAGTTGTTTTTATAGAATAATATTTATTTTAAAAGTGATTTTTATTATTAAAAAAACTTTTACTATATCACAAGTAGCTGATCTAAGTGGAATAACAGGACAATAATCATAGCATAGCAGAGTCCCCGACGGTCTATGATACTTAATGGAGTTTGCAAAGTTGCTAATTGATAGGAAATTTTTTGGAACAACTTAAAGAAATTTAGGGTCTTAGCCAGAAATACCAAGATTTGGAGCTCTAACATAGAAATAATGAAAGATTAGGGGATCTTATATATCATGAAAACAATATTATATGTCTTCCTACCCTTTCTTTCAAAATTTTCCATTATTTCTCCTCTCATTCCCCTCTGTTAGTAAACTGTTCAAAACATGTATAATTAATTGAAGGACGGAGCGTTCTCTAATAATAGCCCAGAGGGTGCTTGAGGAGCTTATTTTATGGTCAAAATAACTTTTAAGTTAGTTTTTTCAAATGTAATTGTTTGGTAAAATATCAAATAAGTTAACTTATAAGTTCACATTTTTTAATAGGAGTAGAAAACGCTGAAAGTGGCGACCATAATACTACTAGAGGGAGGGGCTTTTTATTTTTTATTTTTTAAAATAAAAATATATAGGATGAGATGCCGTATCAAAAGATATGTTATAAACTACTCGTGATGCTTTATGTTTGTAAGCATCTAATCGTAATTCCTGCGTATTGTTAGGGTCAAAATTTTCCAGGTGAGTTTGTTTGGTCTATTTGTTTGGACTATTTAGATATTAGGCCTCGTTTGGTAGGCGGAAATGAGGTGAAATGAAATGACATTTTCACTTCTCATTCCTTCATACCTAACAAACCTATTTTTTTAGATGTTGGAATGACCATTCCCACGGAATGATCATTCCCACTTTTTGTGGGAATGAGTATTCCAAGTGAGAAGATAGGGAATGATCATTCTCATTCAAGGGAGAATCAAATCAGTTAGGTATTTTTTAATTATACCCCTATTAATAATAAGTTAATTTATACCCCTATTAAAGGGAGAACATATGTATTTTTCAATTAGACCCCTATTTTTCAATTATACCCCTATTATGATATGGGTGATTTTGATACTTTATCAAATGAGTTAATTTATATATCTAGAACTGTGGATATCATTCTTTATATTTTTTTGGACCTATGAAAGATGCGATAATCTTTTATTTATTTTTCTTTAATTTTTTAAGACTAAGAAATAGTGAGTATTGTTTAAAAAATATAAACAGAACATACACTTGAGAGATAACATGTGCATTAGTATAACATGCACCAAAATTAATATAACCTATGCATAAATAAAATTGTTTAGTTATTATTATTAATGTTTATTTTTATCTTATTAAAAATATATGTTGTTGTAAGGACATTATTAGAAAATGCGATTCCATTCTCACTTGTGAACTAGTGATACCAAACATGGGAATGGGAATGAGATTTTCATTCTAGCTTTATTTTACAAACGTACCCAAACATGAGAATGAGAATGACCATTCCATTCTCACATACAATCCATTCTATTCCTTCTTCCATTCCATTCTTATTTCTGTCCATTCCCGCGTACCAAACGAGACGTTTAGTGTCTAAAATCCTCAATATAATTAGGGCTCTTGCGTTTTGGTCCGTCAATAACCAAAATATCCTATTTGCAAGTTGGCGTCACAAGATTTACGTGAATGAGAGGTTCTAGAACCTCTATTGGACCTCAAATTGCTATTTCTAGCCATGATTGGTCTTGATAACAGATAGAACAGAAAATTGAAACAGTGAAGGAAAGAATTGAGTGAGGAAGAAGAACAGGTTCAAAATTTAGGAGAAGAAAAGATTCTCATTCATTTCATGATTTTGATCTTTTACAACCTTCTCTTTATACAATTTCAGCTGAGAACTTGGCCTGTGCACGTGCACGTACAGTGTTTGTGCCAACTGTCTAACAGACTAACTGAATTCAAGTAACGACTAACTACTAATCCATTTATTACACATAAATCCTGGAACTAAACAACTCATGTCCAATAACCTTGGTCTTTTGCAAATCAACCCCGTATCAGTCAAGCTTTTGCATATCAGTCCACTTTGCTCAATCCTTAGCTTCAACTCCTGTAATTCCATCTTCAGCTCCGATAGACATTTCCTTGGGTTCCCAGCTCTCATCTTCAGCATCTATTGAATGATTCATTTCCTGTATTCCAGCAGCAGCATCTGCAGCAGCACCTGACAAATCAGCACCTGACAAATCCCTCCCACTTAAATTGGACCTTGCCTCAAGGTCAAAAGAAGGAAATTTCTTAACCAGGTCCCAATATGGTTCCCAGGTGGAGTCCAAAGAACTACGTTGCTTCCATTTAATGAGAACTTCAAATACCAACCTGTTTCCCTTGATAATTGACCTCCTATCCAAAATTGCTTCAGGTTCACCAACAATTTCTGCTACATAATTGGGAATATCAACCTGGACAACAACATCAGTTCCAATCCTTTTCTTCAATTGTGACACATGAAAAACTGGATGAATTTTTGCCTGATCAGGTAAATCCAGTTTATAAGCTACTTCACCAATTTTCTCTAGGATTTGGTATGGTCCATAAAACTTTGGAGAGAGCTTGTGGGTTTTGTATGAAGACACACTGACTTGTCTATATGGTTGTAGCTTAAGGAAAACCCATTCTCCCACTTCAAAACTTCTGTAACTCCTGTGTTTGTCAGCATGTCTCTTCATTTGTTCAGCTGTATTTTTCAAACTATCTTTAATGAACTGCAAGGCTATATCTCTTGAGAAAAGGACTTCATCCACTGCCTCAACCCTGCAGCTCTTAGGGATATATGAAAGCAAAGAAGGAGGAGGCCTACCATATACTACTTCAAAAGGAGTAGAGTGTGTAGAAATTTTCCATGTAGTATTATACCAAAATTCAGCCAGGGTTAACCACTTACTCCATTCTTTGGGTTTGTGAGAACAAAAGCATCTTAAGTAGCTCTCCAGATTTTTGTTAGTAACCTCAGTCTGTCCATCCGTTTGTGGGTGATATGCTGTACTAAATTTCAGCTGGCTTCCTTGTAATTTGAATAATTCTCTCCAAAATAAGCTTGTAAACAGGGAGTCTCTATCACTGACAATAGATTTTGGCATCCCATGCAACTTGAATACCCCTTCAAAGAAGACCTGAGCAACTATCTGAGCAGTGTAGGGATGTGAAAGAGGGAAGAAATGGGCATATTTAGAAAGCCTGTCAACAACTACAAAGATAACAGTTTTGTCCCCACTTTTTGGAAGATGAGTAATAAAATCCATAGATAGATCTTCCCAAACATAATCTGGAATTGGAAGTGGCTGTAGAAGTCCTGGAGATGCCACATTTTCCCCCTTAGCTCTTTGACAAACATCACAAGCTTGTACATATTTCTGAACATCTTTCTTCATCCCCTTCCAATAGAAAGATCTCCGCAATCTGTGCAAGGTTCTGACAATTCCAGAATGACCTGCTATAGGGCTGTCGTGATGCTCTTTAAGTAAGGATGTTTTAATATTTTGAGCTGTAGGACTAATCAGAAATTTTCCTTTATAATAATACATCCCTTCCTTCTTGTGATATTTGTTATCCTCCAACTGTCCCTTGCATAATTTGGCATCAAGCTCTGCAAAATACTCATCTGTGGAGTACATATGCTTGATTTCTTCCAACCAATCATTGTTAAGAATGGTAATGGCTGAAGCTTCCACTTCCTGAGGTGAGGCATCTTCTTCAGTTTCCTGGATTCTTGACAATCCATCTGCTGCTCTATTTAGTCTTCCTGGCTTATATTCTACCCTGTAGTCATAACCATGGAGCTTAGCAAGCCATTTATTCTGGATTCCAGTGTGAA